GTTGCAGAGCCCATGGGGACAGAAGGCGGCTACACTGGGAGTCTTCACAGTTATTTTCTCTATCTTAATCCTCAAAATAGCCTTTGCAAGGTAGTGGTTATTGTCTCTAATGAGCTCTTTCCCCAGAACATGGGGCCTGGGGCCTCGGAGCCTCCCCAGCTCTCGCTTCCCTGCTTTCATGCACAGACATGCTGAGGCCCAGAGGCCAGATTCTTTGCTTAGCCTAGAGGTGGGCTGTGAACTGGGTGGACACAATTTCTTGTTCTTGTGGTGCTTATGGTCTAGCAGGGGAGAAAATATCAGCTAACTCTGGGCTCTGCATCTGGCATTGCACGTACATTACTTAATGTATTCCTCGTGGCAATCCTAACGTGGGTTTTCTTCCTCTTCCCATTTTACAGATGAGAAAACTGAGGCCTAGAGAAGTTAGGCAACTAGCCCAAGTCACACACCTGGTGTATTCATTTACCATTGCTGCTGTAACAGACCGCCACAAACTCAGTGGCTTCAGAAAACAACACAAAGTTACTATCTTACAGTTCTAGCGGTCATAGTCTAAAAGGGTCATTCTGAAGGTTCTGGGGAAGAATCCATTCCTTGCCTTTTCCAGCTTCTAGAGGTTGCCTGCATTCCTTGCTCATGGCCTCCCATCCCATCCTCAGCCCCCACTTCCCTGCTCACATCTCCAGCTCTGACCCCGTCCCTCCCTCCCTCTTCGAAAGACTCTTATGATTACATTTAGGGCCACCCAGATAATCTCCCCAGTCCCTTTTGTCAGGGCAAGTAGCATATTCACAGGTTCCTGGGTGTAGGGAACATCTTTGGAAATCTAGCTGCCGGCCCCACCCGCGTCAGGGAAGCCAGAATTCGGACCCAGGCATTCAGATCCCACAGCCTTGACCACCATGTGTTTGGGTCTTCTGTGTGGGGTGGCCCGTGCTACACGCTTTAGCCCCCCAGCCCCTTCTGAGATCTGAGATTCCTGTTCCAGAGGGAGGGTGGTTTTGAAATGACTGTGGTGTCCTATTGCAAAAGGGAGAGGAGGGTGCACAGCCACTGTGGAAAACAGTCCGCAGTTCCTCGAACAACTGCACATCGCGTTACCCTACGACCCAGCGATTCTGCTGCTGGAGGAACTGGAAAAGTTCTCCGAGAGAATGGAAAACAGGGACTCAAAGACTTACGTGCGGGTTTTCATCACAGCACTGTTCTCAACAGCCAAACAGTGGGAGCAGCCCCGTGTCCGTCCGCGGATGGGTGGATGAACGGAATGTGGCCTGGCCACGCGGGGATACTGTTCAGCCACAAATGGGAAGGAGGCTCTGACACATGCCACGTGGGCGAGCCTGGAAAGCATTAGGCTCAGTGACAGAAGCCAGACACCAAAGGCAAATCCATAGGGACAGGAAGTGGACTGGTGTTTTCTGGGGGAGAGGGAATGGGAGGTGATGGCTGAGAGGGGGGTGTCCTTTTAGCACAAAAAACACGTCTTAGAACTAGAGGTGGCGGCGCACGTACTAAATGCCACTGAATCAGTCACTTTTTTTTTTTTGAGACAGTCTTGCTCTGTCACCTGGACTAGAGTGCATGGTGTCATCATAGCCCACAGCAGCCTCAGACTCCTGGGCTCAAGCGATCCTCTTGCCTTAGCCTCCAGAGTAGTTGGGACTACAGGCACGTGCCACCACACCCAGCTAATTTTTCTATTTTTAGTTGTTTGGCTAATTTCTTTCTATTTTTTGTAGAGACGGGTCTCGCTCTTGCTGAGGTTGGTCTCCAACTCTTGACCTCAAGCAATCCTCCCGCCTCAGCCTCCCAGAGTACTAGGATTACAGGTGTGAGCTGCCACGCCCAGCCTGAATCAGTCACTTTAAAATGTTTTAACAGCTAATTTTATGTTATATGAATTTTATTTCAGTTTTAAAAGGGGGAGAGGTGTAATTGTGGCCCCCACCCCACATGGCCTGGCTGGGCGGACAGGAGGCCTCCTCAGCCTTCCTGTCCAGACTCTTGGGTTCCTTGTTTCTAATGTTTCTAACATTTGTCCTTCCCATTTTGAAGGTAAGACCTACTCATTAAAATCTGGGAAACACCAAGTCATTAGAAGACAAAAGTCACCCATAGACCCCACCCAGACTGAAGCACAGCAGTAAGGGGAGGGGCTGCGGAGAGTGGTGCGGTGGCCTCACTCCTGGACTCAGACCCCAGCTCCAGCCCTCCAGCCCTCCCAGCCTGCGGGCCTGGGCTCCTTCCCTGGCCTCTCTCTGCCTTTGTTTCCTCATCTGTAAAGTGGGTGTGTTAACAGTGTCCCCCTCCTCAGGTGGTTGTGAGGATTAAATGGAATAAAGATATTAGAGCTTTCTTAGTGTGGGCGGGCTCCCAGGAAACGTGCCCTCAGTGGTCACGCTTTCGGGTGTGGGCCCCTCCGTCTCTGGGTCTTTGCGTACGGGTGGGCCCATCTGCTGCGGTGACACCGTTCAGATTATTTTACCCTTGGTTTTTCCCAGCCAATGCCTCCAGATGACAGCGGGCTTTCTGCAAACTGATCCTAAAGTTGCTTACGATCCTTTGACCACGCCAACTTTGTGCAGTTCCTGTTGGCACTGAGGCTTCCCTTCGCCCTGCTTTCCAGAATTATACATCACTCGCATGTGACGATTCTTCTGGAGAAAGTGTTTTCTCTGCACAGAGGCGTTCTCCTTAGGGGATGTTCCCAGAGGCGCAATCTGCTTCTGTTCAAGCTCAGCCCACGCGTCACCGGAACCATCTGGTCGTCCACCAACTACGTTCTCGTTTGATTTTAGGAGGAGCCGTCTTGCCAAATCCTCCAAGGGCTGCGGCGCTGTAGCTCGAGCGATCTCACTGGTGGGGATGAGCTGCCCGCTCCCCTCCTCTGAGCCTTTAAAGTGTGTGGAGGGGGTGGAGGGGCCCGGGAGGAAGGATGGGAGGAAGCAGAGGACAGAGGCTCAGGACAGCTCAGGTGAGCAGGTCAGAGCGCAGCGGGTAGTCCCAGGGGTAGAGCAGGGCGGGACCGCGGCCGTGTTGTATGAATACAGCTTTCCCGGGACACGGCCACACCCGTCCGTTTACCCAGTGCCTGAGACTCCTTCGCGCGGCAACGGAAGAGTTGACTAGCAGTTGCAACAGAGACCTTAGGGCCAGTGAAGCCTGAAATACAGACTATCCAGCCCTTGACAGAAAACACTGCCCAGTACCCGGGATGGAGGGCTGCTTAGGGCTTGCAGAGTCGGGTGCCAGGACACAGGTGAGAAAGCGCTGAGGAGCCCACAAAGGGGTCACTGTTGCTCCCCGCATGGAAAGCCAGTTACTGAGACAACGAGGCTGTCGGGGAAGAAAGGATTTATTTTAGTGACATGTCAGCTGGG